CAGCGGATTTGGGCTGTACTCAGCAAGCGCAGTACAGCCCCCAACTCAGATTTGAAAAACAATCAGTGGATGGTTGTTTTCTGACTGGTCGGCAGACCGCCGACCGGTCGGCGGTCGGCAGGTATGCAACCCTGGCCATGAAGCTATTGATTTTAAGGAGAATCTTGGAGTTACTGATTTTGACAGCACAGAAATCAGGCAACAACCATTGGAAAGGCTGAAGAATCGAGTGAATGAATCTGCATACCTTGGAAGCAAATACCAACTCCTGCCCTCGCAGGATGAGGACGCCAGCGGCATGAAGGAGTTGTGATGCAGCCTCGCTTGTCAGTCCTAGACTTGCAGGGATCTGCAAGGAACCCACATAGGTAGTCACATAGCAGGATTCTCATCCTATCAATTTATGTTGGAAAATGGCACAATGATCATCAGATGAGCCCTCTTAAAGCAGGATTCCAGCAATGAAGACATAAACCCCAAACAAGCCCTCACAAGATGAGGACATCAGTGACACGGAGGAGTTGTGATGAAGCCTCATTTGTCAATCCCTGCAGGGATCTGCAAGAAACCCACAGAGGTAGTCACATAGCAAGATTCTCATCCTATCATTCATGTTGGAAAATAACTGGCACAATGGTCCTGGGAGAGTGCCAGTCGAGTTCCCCGAAGTCACTCAAACCAGCAAAAAACATTAGTGTTAAACAGTCGGTGTAATGAACCCGTCCAGAACGAGAAGCTTCCACTCCAAGAGATCAAGCAAGCATCACCAATGCTCTCAAATGGGACACTCACAGTAGGAAACCAGTCCAGCATCACTCAAAATAGTCCCAGCCTGAGCAGCGAGTTATCAGTTAGTAGACAAAGGAAGAGAAGAAATGGAGGGAGAGAAAAACTAGCTGCATTAAGAATGAATAAGACAAATTAATACGCTCTTCCTTCCCTCTTCACCTCCGAGAACCTCTCCACCAACTCGCCACCTCAGCAATGAGTGTCTCTCATACTTGCGGCCCACCGGCACTGTGTGCTGCGGGGTGCGCGGACCAAGGGTGCGCGCGCACCGGCGCGCGCCGCACATCTGGGTGCGCAGTGCGTGCTGCGCACGTCTGGTGTGCTGCTCGCATGTGCGCAATGTATATTTCCATGTTTTAGCAGTAGATTCATTTGATTTTGTTCTCTCTCTCTCTCTCTCTCTCTCTCTCTCTCTCTCTCTCTCTCTCTCTC